TGACAACAGAGCCCACGGTCCTGAGCTGCCAGCCCTGGGCGGCTGGGTCTGGGATGGCCCCGAGCACTGGGGCAGGGGCTCCACAGGGCTCTTCTGGAGCTGCCGGGAGGGTTTGGTGCAGCAGGAAAGTGCTTTGCTCCTTCCCCCCCTAGCTCAGTTATTTCTGACCCCATTCAAACATCACACACCTTCTATGCATTGCCATAGCACCTGCCTTGATGTTACAACTGATGCTTTTTAAAACAGTTCAATATCTTTTTCCATAGAAAAATATGTTTTTCTAGAATCATCTAATTCAATCTAGTATATCATAAAGACTAGATGACATCAGTTTCCTTTAGTAGCTCCACTTTTTAATATGAAAAGGATAATAATTCTAGAAGGACAGTAAAAGGGGCCTCTGCATCACTTAGCAAAACACATTGGATATCAAGTTACAGATTCTTGGCATCTAGGTCAGATTATCACTTTGCTTTTTGTTATGATTTGGGTTCTTTTATGTGGTTACAAAGAGTACTAGAGCAGCTTCTAGTAAGAGCTCCTATTACAAGTTAGTGTAATACTTTCAAGCTATTAGCCTACATAAGCTCCAAACATCTTCATTTACAAGCAAGCCTACAAAGTTATACAATAAAGAAAACTAGTCAAGGATTTAGTTAATAAAATGCAGAAATTAAATAATATGACTTCTGAATGTTTCAAACTAACGAATCAGCAGAGAACTTCATGTGTGTACCTTATTTCTTTGAGGCTTACAGATGCTTCCTACTGCTAGTTTGTTCACAAAATGGGCTTTTGCAAATATACATTGATAAAATTAGGCTTTAGTCGTAGCTTGAAGATTTATTCTTTTATTTGCCAGTACAAGGTGTTAAGGTTTTTTATATATGTACATATTCCAGTGCCTGTAATTTAGATACTATATTTTATGCAAGTTTATGGCATTTTTTTTCTTGGACAAGGAGGCAATTTTATGACTAAACAGCATATTTAGGTGTGTCTACCTAGGAGACCTGTGCTACAGAAAGAACTAACTCAAAAAGAGGGAAGAACTCTGATATCAAGATTTAGGCAAGACTGGGGAAGAACACTGTCTCTCCTACTTGTATGAGAGTTCTGCAGTGTTGTACCTATATTCAGACCTGAGATGGAGTGAAGTTTTAAAAAAAAAATAAAAAACCACAAAAAACAAGAAGAATTATACAGTCTTTTAATTGCTTTGTCACTTCATTGTACACACTCCAAACAGAAATATCACTTGAAAGACATCCAGTTCCCTTATTTTGTTGCACTGTACATGTTATGCAAATAAGAGCTGGGGTGGCATAAAAAACAAAATGTTGCTCTGACTTTTCAAATAATTACTCAAAAGAAACAGAAATTTAAAACATAGCTGGGAATTTACAGCCTCAAGAGGAGGTTTGCAAATGACTGGTTAAAGATGAACCAGATGCAAAGGGGGAAGGGGAAGCTGGGGAGGAAGAGAGACAATTTTCCAGTTTGAGGCTAAAGTAGGAAAAAAAAAAAAAAACACCCTAAAAACTGTACACAAGTGTCAGCTTGCTCAGTATTTACATTCTGAGCAACACCAATGCTATAGACAAGCAATGTACTAAAAAAAATAACTTAAAAAAGCTATACAATTGTAGTTATAAATACTATATATTTAAAACTACCTAAGTAGTGTACACTAAAAAACGTTGTTCACAGTTACTCTGAAGAGAGCTGTATATATATATTGCACAGTAGAAAAGTTCATTCAGTATACCATGTGTAAACAATTTTTACCTTCTTTGGCAATTTTGGGACTTAGAGGAGTATTTGCTAGGAGCAAAAGCACTTGGGTACAAGGCACATCAAAAGCTTTTAAAGCTGCAAAATAAATCCTTCTGACACTTTCCAGTTAGCACTGCCATTCAATCTAGGAAAACGTGTATTTATCAACTCAGAACAACACATTTCTACGAGTAGAACTCAGAGGTTTGAGGACAAAAACATCAGCTCCTCCTGGCTGTTATTCTACAGTAACAGATTTGGCCAAATTTCTTGGAAAGTCCACCTAGAATGAAAAGAGAGACTGAGTGTTTGAGAGAGTAATAGTGACATTCTGCATTTGACAGTCCACTTAGTGTGCTTCTTTTAGACTTCCTAATGAGTTCTGCTTCATTCTAGACACATTAACACACAAGAGACTGTAAATCTGAAGATAATGACTCACTGTTAAATTCATCCTTGCTTCCAAAACCCCTCCTAACAAATACATATTTGTTTTGCACTGAGTACCTTTCCAACACAGTCATTACCAAACTGACACACCTAGCCAGCATCAACAAACTAAGCTGTACAAAGCTCTGTATTTTTTAGGTTAGAGTGCAATATCACATTTTAAGATTTAGTTCTCTGAAAAATTCCTGTCTGCACTCTTAATTCCAACTAAGCAAATGATCTTTATAATTATTTCAGGAGGCTATCAATTGAAAGAATATTAAGCTGAAGAATTAGCACTGAAGTGACACCTGTCCTATCACAGTCATTGTAAGCTCCACTAACTATTGGCACAGTTCTTTGTTAGATGTGCCATATAACTGGGTCTCTCACTTTACACTGGTAGGAGGATGTTCAAAACTGTGCTAACTGGAGCCCTAAACATAGGAAGCACTTACATCATATCCTCTGAGAACAGCCAGGTGGAACGAAAGCAACTGGAGAGGAATAACACTCAAGACTCCTTGAAGGCAGTCAACTGTATGAGGCAGCTCAATGGTTTTGTAGGCAAATTTTGAGCTTTCAGTGTCTTCTTTAGAACACAGAATGATTGGACGACCCTGAAAATAAAAAAATTTGCAGGGCTAAGTGAAGAGCTGGCTTAGAATTGCTTTGAAATACTGGCTCACAGCATGCCTGTAGAATGTTTGAAGATGCTCACAGAGCTAACAGAGACAATGTCCACCTTGCACAATGACTTTTGTCATTCACTGTTTTGTGAGACTGGAATGTGTTCACACTGTAGTGTTTGGCATTATTCCATCTGCTTCAAAATAAACCAAAAAAAAACCCCAAACAAATGACTCACATACAATCAGTTTTCACTACTGGTGTTAACCTGTAATCATAACCTACAATGCAAATATATAATTCATAACTTAATAATTAGGGGAAAAAGTCACCAATACATCTTTTTTCTGAGGCACATGTTAGCTAAAGAGCTTACCTGTCGAGCAGTGACCTGCTGCAGAGCATTCTGGCACTTGGTGAAACAAGGGTCCTTCATTATCACCATGATAACAGGCATTTGTTTATCTACTAGGGCTAGTGGCCCATGTTTCAGCTCACCAGCCAGTATACCTTCAGAGTGCATATAGGTTATTTCTTTTATTTTCTAAAAAAAAAAAAAAAACAAAACCAAATGGCATCAAGTTACTTGTAAAACAAAAGACAAATAAAAGCCACAAGATGAAAACTGTTGGCTGTACATCTGCATTCACTTAAACAGAGACATATGGTATCGAGTTGCTATTTCCAAAGATTAGTTAATAGTGAAAACAGACAGACTTGTGTGCTGGGATTTTTAGCAGGCTGCTGGTGGAAGCAGAGCTGCCCGTGCACAGGCATTTGCAGATCAAGTGGAGTGAGCAGCAGGAACTTGAAGAGCCAAACACCCAGCACAACCTTGGCTAAGGCAGTCTGCCTCTAACATCTCAAACTTTAGTGAGAGATGGCGAGTCCCCATGCCACCAGAATGTTCATAACATAATTTATGAGCTTCCTGCATAAGCATCTCATCTGAATATCAGCACATCTCACTTTTCAGATGCCATTGTCAAATTGGTCAGCATTTTAAATGGTTTTATTTTAAATAGACTCATTAAACACAGAACTTATGTGAAAGAAAAGCTGGCATCATATCCAGGTTCACCTTATGTACGTGTTCAATCCAACAGGACTAAATGCTCTTAGTTACAGATAGCAGCTTTACTGCAGCAGGATGAAGTTGAATGGAATATTAGAAATAAACTGTGTTGCAGAAACCACAAAAGCTCATTTGAAATAACACTCAACAATCCTGAGAGGTTCTTACCAGAGCTCCTTCCAGACAAGTGGCATAATTATACCCACGACCCATGACCAGCAGTGATCTTTGTTTGTACAGCTCAAGAGCCAAATCATGTATCTTCTCATCCAAGGACAAGACTTCTTTAATCATCTCTATTAGGACACACAAAAAGCACATTATTGAAAGCTTTAATTGGAAAAAATAATTTGCTTGCACAGGATGTTCTAATGATCTATTAGAACAAATGCACTTAATTAAAATTGTGAACTTTGCATTTTTGACTGCAGTTTAAGGATATTTTCTCCAGCCTTATTTACAGTAACAAATTTAAAGCAACTGTTGGTTTAAGCAGTGCTCATACATCCCATTTGTATTTCTACAGGAAGTTGGGAACATCCATTTTCAAGTCACCTTGAATTAGTTTCCTTTTACATACCCTGGTTTAAAGAAAAAGGCTTTAAAAATTTCAAAAATCATCAACCAAGTAATATTTCTCATACAAAACTACCTTACTGCAATTGAAAAACCCAGCCCATGAAAATTCTGGTCTTTCTGCCAAGTTTCATGGAAGTGCACTTGTAAAATTGGCAGTCAGTGCAAAACTAATAGTCCATTTTTCTTATATTGTCTGCCTGTCAGGAGGAGGGGGAGAGTGAAACTTAAATGAGAAAGAAACATCCCCAAGTAGTATTTTGTACTGCCCATTAACCAAAGTCCCCTGTCACTCCTAAACCCAAAATATCAATATACCTGGCAATGACTTTAGTCCACTAATGATTTCCTGTCTCCTTTTCTGCAAGGAAATTCTGTCTTCAGACATCATTAGGCCAAACATTACAAGAGACACGAATTGGCTGGTATAAGCCTGCAGACAAAATAAAACATTTAGCAGCTGAGCCTTCAGAGAGTTAGTATGATCTCAGTTTGAAGTGCTACAATTAAAATTTTAATTGGCTTCCACAGGGCTGAAATATGGAAGTCCAACACTGAACAGCAATTACCTTAGTGCTGGCCACACCTATCTCAGGTCCTGCATTGATATGGACACCACAGTCAGTCTCCCTGGATATTGAACTTCCAACTGTGTTTGTGATGCCAACTGTTAGGGCACGACGTTCTTTACAGTACCTCAAGGCCATAAGTGTATCTGCAGTTTCACCTGGAAAACATTTACATCTCAACTTCAGGATGACAGAGGGCAGTAACAATTCCTGAAAAGCCTAGAATTCTACACAGACGTGTTCTAAATAACCACATCCACACTCACACAATGCAAAATGCAACTGAAAGTCTTTCAAGCACTCACTCATTGTCTATTTATTTGAATCAGGTCTGGAAGAAACTCTCTCAAGATAAAGCTGGCCCATTAGCCATCATCCTCCTTTGCAACATGCAGAAAGTAATAAATCATTGCATTAAAAAAAAACAAAACACATTTTCTACAGTTTTCAAACAGTAAATGCAGCTCACCTGACTGACTTATAAAAAAGCACACATCATCTCTGAATACTGGTGTGTTCCTATCCAGGAAGTCACTAGCAAGCTCCACCATCACTGGTAATTCAGTTAACTCCTCCAGCACTTGTCGAGTCTGTATTCAAGTAGCAAACAGTATTTGTTAATATTGCCACCCATAAAAGTCTTGGTATCTTAAGACCCAGAGATAATGGGTTCTTATTACAAAAAAAAAAAAAAAAAATATCTATATCTATATATATGTAGATAATCTATAACTACAGCTCACCAGAGCTTTAAAAACCAGGGTGAAAAAAGTTAATTTCTAGCATGGTAGGCAAGAGCAACAGAGCAATAATAAGGAATATGGAAAAAAGGAAAACTAAAAGGGTGAGAGCTCTCAATGAAAGGCAAAGTTTGAGATACAGAAGAAAAAGCAGATGAAGAGCTGTTGTCTAAAAACTGAGCAACTAGGAGTTACATATGGATTCCAGCTAGGGTTGAACATACAGCTACTGCAGCGTGGTAACTGGTCCCACAGCCAATAATGATCAGTCTTCGGCATCTTCTGATTTCTTTCAGATGATCCTTCAGCCCCCCAAGCAGAACTATGAACAAACAAAAGCATGTATCAGTGGTGTATTTTATTTTCTTGTTAATATGTTCAAAATTTGCAGGCTTAGTGCCTTGAGCCCCTGTTCCAAGTTACCTGTGCTGCTCTCAAAATTCACCCTGCCTCTCATCGTGTTGACAACTGATTCTGGTTGTTCAAAAATCTCCTTTTGCATGAAGGCACTGAAGTTACCTGTTTAGAAAAAGATGACAGGGTAATGCTTAGGTTTGTTATTTGAACCCTGTTATAAAGAGAAGATTTTTTAAGATGACCTGTGGTAGCAAGCTAATTGTTGAGTGTGTTAGCTTAAACAAAAGCTTAGGAATAGGCAAGAAGGAGGGAGGAATTGGTGGTTTGTTTTGCTTAATTGGTTTCATTTCCCAGCACTGACCAGGTAATTGAATCCCTCTTTAAGGGAACTTCTGTATTCCACTTTAGCTCTTAATATACAATCAAAGAATGGCATCAACTACCTCAACATTTAACATTAGTTATATTTTCACTGAGTATTCAGATGCATACAAGGATCTAGGACTTCTCCAAGGCTAAAAATGGGCAGGGTCCCACACCCTGTATCTTCCCATTGTCTTAAAGCTTGGAATTGTCAGGTCCTAGTACAACATAAATATCAGGTCATTTGCACAACAAATTACCTGTTTTCTGCCTTAACTACTACACAAATAGTACCTATCCAGCTTCCAGCTTTGATGATGCTCATGTACAGACACTTCAACCCACCCTTCATGATCTGCTGCAATTCCATCTGCAAGGTTTGGATGGCCCGGGAGGGATCGTCACTCGCTGAACGCTCCAGCCGGTGAATTGAAAGCTTCCCATCAGTTACTGCTGCAATGTCATCATCTTCTAAGAAGATCACTCTGTTAGTGTGCTCAATGATGGCACTACAGAAAAAAAAACAGAAGCCAGACAAACTGACATGTCAGTAAGAGTTGGTAGCAGCACCCTCAAAGCAATTAAACGGGCTACAGAGCACATTCATTCCCCCTTCTATCTTCCTTTTGGATCTAACTGCAGATAGAGCCATCTTAAAGGAAATGGCTCCATCTGCTGCTCCTCCTGCACTCTCACAGGAACCCAGAGCAGAAGGCTCAGGAACCACAACATCTCACAGCAGCAAATTCCTGCTTGTCTGATCCTGCCTCCCAGTGTCCCTGGGGACCCCTAAGGTCACTATCTTCTGAAATAAATGCACACCTGATGTCCAGGTTCCTGCTAAGTTCAGAACCACATTATTTCCTCCTCTGATAGCTGCATTAAAACACCAAAACCAGACTGACCTATAGCCTGCTCAAATACTTGGCTGACAGTGTCTCTTTGTACCCCACTTACCCTCCTACACTGGCTGCATTTTGCACATAGGTCAAAAAGCAGACACTGCACTTGTGTGCCATTCAAATGCTGATGTCAAGCCCTCACATTTCTCAACTACCTCAACCTGGAGGCTTCACGAAGTTACCTGGATTCAACTCATTCTACCAGAAAACAATTGCACAGCAGCAAGACAGCATAAGATTTCCAGAACCATCTCACTTTTAAAGAAAAAACAGTCTTTTGAGAAGGTTTTAAGTACTGTTGGTACCTTGCATCTGAAGCAAAGAAGAACTCTACTGCCTTATCCCCAACAGCATGAAGGCAGGTAGAGCTGTCCAGTCTTTGCATGCGTGAATTGCACATGTTCTTCACATTCTCAATGTTGCCTATTCAAAAGAAAATATAAAAGACACATCAAATGCAAAAGCAGAGCTGTTCAAGGCAGAGGAGAGACTATACAGGTACAAGGTATCACAGTCACACATTTTTGGAGGGATGGGACTTTTACATGAACTACACAGTGGTATAAAAATACAATATCCTCAGCTAAGAAGCTATTTGGGGCATCAGCTGGTAGTTTTATAGTACAAAGACCAATTAACCTAATTTCTATTCATAAAACAACAATAATTTTATTCTTAAAAAGAATGTAATTTGATTTATCAACTTACAGCTTCTATATAAAACAGGAATCTGCTCAGTGGACAGCTTGTACTTGCTCCTAACCCCAATGAGCAAAGGACTCCCTCTCCTGCAAAGAGAAAACACTCAAATTTATAAAATGTACATACAAAGAAGTCAAAGGGCATCCATGGAGTTGAAAAACAATATCCCATATTGCTTCCTAAATAGGAATATCCTCCTCAACCCTTATTCTAATGCCATTACATGCAGGAATTAAATAAACTTCACTTGTTTCTGTAAGATTTGCCCAATATTATTATGAAGTACCATGTCTAGGGGAGTCTCTCCATGAATGACACCCAGGTAGAGAAAAATTTGTATCAACTAGTTGGTTTCCTTCCAGTAACCACAAAACAGCTTAACACAGGCACCAATGTGAACACCATTTCCAAACAAAGCTTATTCTGCCTCTGAAGTAAGCCAGCAACAAGCTCTAGTGCTCTTTACTATGGAAATCCTGCTCCACTCTTTCATCTCTTAAATTCAGAAATGCCAGCCATCACTACTGCACCTCTGAAACTGCAGAATATTAAAAAATTATCTTAATTATATGGGTCATGTGCCACACTGAAAAGCTTAATATAAAAAAAAAGTATCTCACAGGAATAAAAGAGTAATTCACCCCCTCAACACCTCAGATTACAAATTTAGCTTCTCTTAACCCCCTCACTCCTAATAACCCAAACCACATATAAAATAGTTCATTTCAGAAGATGTTCTCTGGTTGGAGTGATGGTAGAGCTGGCTTTTTCACCATTTCAATATAGGCCCATTTTAGACCACAGAAGCAATGGGCTTTTTGGTTGTCCTATAAAACAGTCTTTATTTCCACTGCTATTTCTGCTTGCTACTTTAATATCTTTACATTGCCTTAAAGTTGCTTTCCAAGTCATAAATAGAAGTAGAACTTATACAGAAAAAATCATAAATGCTACAACAGCTATAGAACACTATTTGTATAACCTATTAGTACAAAGGCATTTTAGTCAAGCTGAACGTGCTTATCTCAGTCTTTATTCAGTGTGAAGTTAAATGGAGCCATTCCCTTTCCCTCCCCTTTTTGATACAGGAGAACTCTTATCACACTCCTAAGACAGCTTCAGAAACAGAAGATACACAGAGCTTCTTTACTGACACACTGTTAACAGATAAAAATGACACGACTATGGGAATGAGTTTGTGAGTAGTAAATTCCTCTGAGTGTGTCATTTGGATGATATCCAGCTGACAGTGTATTTGCACGAAGCAAGAAGACATCATCTGATTACTTTTCACTACTGCCTTTGCATCCTCCAAAAGTGAGGAGTCACAGCTATTTTATTAAACAAAATCAGCTTAGAGATTATAGAGAATGAACACAAGCCTCTGAAAATTCTGTGACCTGCAGTCAGTACAGCTCCAGCTAAGTTAAATTTAACAGTCAGTTGAAATGCTCAGCAGAGCTCTGCTGCACTTTACAAGGATTCCACTAGTGCAGCTATCCATCTTCTGAATTTTGGTTCACTAAACATTTTTTTAAGAGATGTTAGCATATTTTTAACCTAAAAAGGTATGAATTATGTATAAAATGGGCTTTTACTAACCTGGTAGCCACAGCTTCACCTGGGTAATGAATGCTCTTGAAAACCAATGCAAAAGCACCTTCCTGGAAACCATGCAAACAGAAGAGGAAAAAAAAATCCTGAACAACTTATCTCAATTAGTCTCATCTCATTAAACTGGGGCCCCTCTTCCTGAGGGGGCTGTGAAGGAAAGCTCTTTACTACTATCAGGAATCTCTTCCTGGAGAACAGACTGCACCTTTAAAGGCATTGGTCAGGGAGCAGCACAAGCTAACATGCACGTAACAGCTGAAAGATCAGGAAGTGAGCACTTAGCCTCTCTTCATAAATAAAACAAAAACCTTCTAATGCAAGGGTTAAGAAGATCTCCCAGATGTAACTCGTAATCAACAGGAAGACTGTTAGAAACTTACTTTCAGTAAGACTTAAGAACCACTTTTAGTAAGAACGTGCACATAGATGCATTTTAGGATGTACTTTCAGCTAAAATTTGGTGTTACTATTTCTAGTTCAAGCAGCAAATTCTCATTGATGTATTAAAAGAAAAAGCCCAAACCACAAAACAACCTTCAAAAAAAAAAAAAAACCTGCCAGCAAAAAAAACACCCATTTAAAGATTTCCCATTGAGAAGCATTTGAGGTTTCCAAAATTTTCGTCTCGTTTCTTCGTGTATTGAGCATTGTTTAGAGGCCAAAAAGCATTATTTGCAGCACCTTCTAAGGACCCCTGCAGAGGACCTAAATGCATCAATGCAGAATACTAAGAAACCCCACAAACAGCTTATACTGTAGTACAGGAAAAAAGGCACTTCCCACTTACCAACTGCTGGATAACTCTTTCTACCAAGGCTGAAAAACTGGTGTCCTCACTCTCTCTGTTGTCATACATGTATTTGATCAATTTGGGGATCGTTTCTGTATCTGTTTCAGATTCAAATTCATAGCCTTTGCTCTCCTGAAATAACATAGAAGAGTAAAATGTGTTTTCATCCTCAGGCAAGAACTGAAGAGCCTCTCAGCTGCCTCGCACTGCACACAAGGGCAGGCAGCTTGGAGCACTACACTAGACTTGTGGATATGTATCATTATAGACAAAATATCAAGACTTATCCTGTCATAGCTACTCTTTCAGAAATAGTGTAATAAGACACATAATAAGACTACTTGCTTAGCATCTGTCAAGCAACAAGAGACAGGAGGGAGCCCACTCACACACCCTCTCAAAGAATTTGAGCAGCAGTTGGTAGTCTACTCACAAGCACTTTGCATTTAGGATTACAAGAACAGACAGCACTTCATCAGCTCCCAAGCATCTTTATTAGGCAGATCCCTTCACACTACTGTTTTATAGATGGTATCAACCCACTTGAATTCAGATTCCAACAAAGTCATGGAAGATCTGACAGTAATTGGTAGAGCATTTACTGTCTAGTTTTAGAATCAGGTTGCCACATACTTACCAGAAATTTTCTCAGGTCTTTATAATTTGTGATGATTCCATTATGGATAACAACAAATTCTAGAAGGAAAAAAAAAGTAATTAAAAAAGATATTTAACTCAGAACACAGAGTTAGAGGGGAAAAAAAAGGTTAGAAGTACACTTGAAACTAGCTGCTATAGCTTTCAGACCTATAGTTTATCACAACATAGGCAAGAGAAAGTAGAAGCTTACAAATTCTGAAGGCATACAAAGACTGTTCCAAATCATTAAGACAGTTTTGAACCACACCCAGTAGAACAGCACCAAACCATCTCAAGTGAAAAACAATACAAAATTTCCCTTTTCCACCCCAGCCAATATTGATGCATTTGAATCTTCAGTCTTACCTTTTAAAACATCAGTGTTGTACTTTGACTAACTTGCATCAATTTTCAGAGAACAGATCTCATTAACCTTTTACAGTGTCACTTTAGCCTCAGAAGAGGCTATTTTATTGCCACAGTGTCTAACCTAGACAGAATGGCAACATCTTAGCCCTACTGTACAACACAGATACTATAACACTAGTAAGAACAGAGAGCATGGGTACTGTGTGGACTGAACCATTTAAAATCCATACAGTTCCAGAGCACTGCAGAGATTACATACCATTCCTTTTATCTGACCTCTGAGGGTGGCTGTTGATTGCACTTGGTACTCCATGGGTTGCCCAGCGAGTGTGAGCAATTCCAAAATGTGTTTCAAAGTCTGCTTTTGAATCCAGGTCATCTTGTTCTATACACAAGAAATTCAGTTTAATGAATACTTAAAAATTGAGTCTCTCCCTCTCACACACACACCTCCCCACTAAAAACACTAAGAGAAATCCTACAGGCAAATACCTAAAAGTTATCTTTTGGCTTTCTTTTAAACCATTTGCTCTCTTGACATTACACTCCAGATAGTTCAAGCTACTGAGATTAAAACTTTGTTTGCCAAGGCTCCAGCATTTTCAGCCAATGCTAACAGCTAGGCTAACAGACCACATAACTACAAATTATAATGTAAATGTATTAAAGCACAACTTCAGTTCTTCACAGATGGAAGCACTGCATAAAGCAGACTGTGATGACAGCCAGATGCTTAAGTGGTCATAAATTCTGTCAGAGTCCATGTTTTGACTTTCTCTACCAAGCACAGAAATCATCTGAGTAAAGCCCCAAGGGAGTCCAGGTCTTGAACAAAGCAGCAACCAAAACAGGGGAGACTAGACCGATAATTCCAGAGCAGTATACTTAGAGATCAGTGCAGCTTTGGGGGGCACAAACAATTTAACTGCCATTGGATTACATACTGCAGTTATTTCTGGTATAAAATCCTAACTGAAGTTGTGTTTTGGTCTGACTTTTTGCTGAGATGTAGATGACATCTGACTGGGAGGCCAAAGTAAATGGGTCATTTTAAGAGACTTACTGTACAACTCTTCTTCCAGGGCCTTTACTTTTCCTCTTTTCTTAACTAATTTGATGAACCTCTCTTTATCTTCATTATTATTTCCATCAATTGCCACTCCTACAGTATAGGACAGAGTCACAAGTGTTATTTAAAAGCATGAAATACATTGGATGAAAAAAAAGGCTGAGAAAAATACAGACAAGCACACACTAGTGAAACAATTGCTTTCAACAAGTGAAACTATTATCCCTCAAATGGACATACTTGAAGTCTGTAGCTAAATTTGTGTATGTTTAAATTAAACCACATAAAGTCTATATCCACTACACAGATGAAAAATACATGAGTCATCTCAAATTTTGCATCTCAAATATACTCCAGTATTTCAGGATATATTTTGCCTGATGAAATTAGCCAACTCCAAAGACAAGTTTAACCTTCCTCATCCTTTCACTGGCACTCACATGCACAAAAAGGCTGAGGCACAAACTACATGACCCTGTATGGAGGTCACCTTCCTTACACCCTGCTTGCTTTGCTTTTGAGTACACTAAACCTCAACCACCATCTGATTCCAGACCTCAACACCCAGTTTAAAGTCTTGAAAAAGCTGAAGAAGAAACTCCAAGAATCAAGGTTATTAGTTCTGAGCTTTTAATCTGCAGGATTAAAAAAAAAAGAAAAATCCAACACGCAGAAGTTAAAAGTACCCAAAAAGTCACCTAAGTAACTATTAGTTGCTAAAAGTAATTTGCTGAGTTGGTTTACATACCTGCAGAATCATACCCTCTGTATTCCAGCCTCTGCAATCCTTTTATCAGGGTTTCAAATATTTCCTTCCGAGTTCGAGGCACTCTGTAGTTTAGGTAAGCAAAAATTCCTGTTCAGAGAGAAAAGGGGAAAGGGGGGTGGGGAAGAAGCAAAGATGTTTTTAGAGTTTGCATCCCTTCAGACTTAAACTTTAAAAGTTCAGAGAACACTTTAAAACTGGAATCAGAGAGAGGTCCTAGAGGGACCCAACCTCCCATGTAGTACAGGTCTCCCTGCTGGGTTTTTAAATGGAAAGAGTTCAAATACAATAAAGGAATCAGAACCCTCATCTTCACCATGCAACACACTTCCCTGGACAGTTTTGCTCTCCTCATGTTACCCACCAAGGGTTAAACCGTGGAGAAAGCTCAAAAAATCTCTACTTTTCATGAAAACCACAGCTGAAAATGGGAACACTGTGATCTATTTCATATCCAGACACTCAAAGAAGGAATATATTCACCAGTACTAACACAAGGAGACTTTTGTAATCAAAGTCATGGCCTTAAATACCCATGGGTAGGTACTAGGCACAACATCTATTTCTGAAAGGCTCCAGAGCTTAATCCAGCATACAACAGGCACTTCAGCAGGGAGAGAATAGAGAAGAAAATATAAAGAAAGGGCAGAAGTCAAAAGGATAGGACAACAAAGGAAAGAAACAGAAGATACAAGAACAGGGTCACCCAAAAAACAAGCCTTCACCCTTTGTGCTGCCTCAACACAATGCTGCCTGCCAAATCCAGCTGGGAGACACAAGATCAGTTTGCTTGCCCTGTGTTACTCAGGTCAGCTCTTACAAAGGTGTCACAAGGAAAGATGTGAACTCACTCCTTGCCTACTCGGCACACAGAGCCTGGAAGAGACTGCAAGTCTGATCCCTCTTCTCTTTAACAGACCACTTGCCAACCAAGGAGTGGCTTTTTTAGCTTTGGGGTTGGTTCCCACCCAGCCATCACACTAGATTCTTTTTTGGAAGGCTGAAGTACATAAGCATTTTTTCACTAGAAGGAGTTTGGGGGATGTTATTTTATCTTTAGAAAAGGTGTAATGAAAAGGTCACCTGCAAAGGAAAACACAACCATTCCTTTTCTCTGCCTTACTGCTCTTCCTCAGACTTCTGCAGTCATAAGGACAGATGAGGCCCTTTTCTTAACTCTTGCAAATTTCCACCCCAATAAAACAAACATTTAATTTCACTGTTTCAATAGTTTCTCTAAGCAACAAGTCAGGACTGGAGACTACAGTTAGCAAAAACCAGACTTTAAGAGCTCAACAGATAAGCAGTTCAGACAAGGGTTTTAAACAGAGAAGTCTTTGAAATTTAACACCCTCTTCCCTTTCAATTAAGGCTTTTGAACTGTAAACGGCTGTAGTGAAGAGGCTGTTATAATGATACACCAATAAATCTCCCTTGTAAATATTGTCATGAATTCGGTTACTCCACTGGTTTTAAGCCATTAATATTCTTGATTTGACACTGAGACTAAAAGACTATTAAATTGGTCTCTGAATTTATCCTGGAAGGATTAAAGGGTGGAAAATGCTTCTCTGCTACAGAAGTGAGATTTATTAGGAGTCCAGCCTAATTAATTCTAGAGTGTCCAACATTAATGGAGATAATAAGACAATAGTTGCATTTGAAGAGGTATTTGGGAATCTGAACAGCTAAATACTGTTCTTCATGGATGCTTTGAAAAAATAATGCCTGTGGTTACATACAGTCACTTTAGACTGAGAGTTTGTTGATCATTTCTCCAGACAGATATTTACCGTTCTCTGGCAGTAACCACCAACCTCAAGAGCAGCATTCTTCAATTTCTTCAATACAAATTTCTCAACATCATTCCAAAACATTGCTACACACCTCATTTCAGATCCAGCTCTACTTTCTAGGCCAGATTTCACAATGTATTTAGGACACATCAGCCTTGTATGTTCCATGTGGCATCTTTGACTACACAGAGCTCCAGGAAAAACCTTCCTTTGGGACCATCCTTACAATGCTACCAGTGTGCTGCAATTGTTAAAAAGATCCTTGTTTCCAGGGAACTGTAGCTGTGCTTCCACATGTGAGCTTGAAGACACAGGAGTCGTCAGAGGCCATTAACAATGAGAGCAATAGCTGCAGCCTGACTTCTCAAGCAATATATTAAGAACTCTTTCAGCTCAAGGAAATAAATCTTACACTCAGCACCATTTGTCTCATGCTCTTCTGTTTCATGATTTACCCCCTTGCGTATTTGCTTCCCTGCTCAGTCATCGTTCTGGCTAGATTAAAGCACATTGCTCAACTCATGTAGAAACAACTTCTGATAAAGACTTCTTGTAGCTTAATTCCTTCTGGAACCGAGCTAGTGTGACTGAATCTTAGTTGAATCATAGTCATGACAAAAGAGTTTTGTGATGCTTGCAAGTTACTTTATAACGATCTCCCCAAGCTATTAGATGCCATCTCCAGAGCTTGCATCTCTCCTCCTCGATGAAGACTCAAGTATTCTCTAAGGTAATGCAATACAGAAGTGGTATGTATCAAGTAAGACAACATTTATTTGTCAGAACAACATAAGCAAAAAAATACTTTCCAAAGTCATATATATAAACATAGAATGCAATGAGAGCATTTAAGAAGTGTTTTACTGGGGCACTGCTCTCTTGACCTGAATGTTAAATCTAGTTTGTAACTTTCCATATCCCTGAGTTTGCACAGAAGCATGAACTAGCTCAATCATGTATGGCTCACCTTCAGAATCAGACTCAAAACAGAAACAGAAAGTCATTCATTACTAAAACCAGCTTTAATCAGGTGCAGACACTGAATGCAAGGTTCCTCCTTTGCATGCATATGAAGACTTTAGAGTTTCCCCTTTCAGGATTGCAACCAGAGCATCAAGAAGAAAAGTTCATTGATTTTCCCCCCCCCCCCCCGGGGGGGGGTTTTCTTTGTTTTCCCCCCCCCCCCCCGGGGGAGGGGGACTTGGTGGAAAAAATCCTCATGAACTCTTGCAATTGCAAGACTTCACCAAAATCAAGAAGGGGGCAGACTATACTTGAAGTTTGAACAGAACTATTTTTTTTTTTAAAATAAAAAGAATGCCTCTTTGGGGTAAGCACACTGTTGATTCCAGAAACCTAGCTTTGAGAAAGTCAGTCTCAACCTCATACCCTGAGGAAACTAAATTTGATTTAGAAGAGGTGGATCATCAGTTTAGGAGCATCTTACTTGGTTTTTAAACCCTGCCTACTTTTGCTGTACTGTCTTCTTAAACATAAACGTGATAACATCTCAAATTGATTTCCTAAAGAGCATGTTCATGGCAGTATTTAATGACCTGTCTATTTTCAAAACAGAAAATAACAGGTTTAAATCTTCAAGTGTTACCTGAAGTTGGAGAAAACATAACAGGACATACTTTCAACTCTTAAACAGGGAAAGAAATGGAAAAATTAAAAAAAGTAATTTAGAAACTGCTGGTTGCAACTTGAAGAACTCCTGCACTTCCTACATCAGATGAGCACAGCAAGGAAGCTATGGGACATCACACACGATAAAGAACGTCACGTGTAAGGTCCCCAAATGTTGATGGGAAGAAAACTGGCACTACTCTCACTACACTTCATGAACTGCTGCTCTTTTTGTCAGTTCATAGCGAGTTAGTTACTCCACCCCAAGCTAGAAGTTTTACCCAACTCATTAACATTGTTAACACCCTCCTTTCCCAATCAACACACAGCCCGGATACGTGAAGTTTTTGATATTATCACTACGTGTCTCACTGCTTAGTGCTTGCCGCCAATACCTTTGGTTTGCTTAGGCACTCAGCCAGGCCTCCCACCTGAAGGGGCTTTGTTTAGAAGACACCTCTCATTGAAAGGGACCCGAGAGGCACGTAGGAGCCCAAACAATAGCCCTTCGTGTTTCCATTCAAGTGAAGAGGCTTCCTGGACTCCTTGCTCTTTTCTGAGGTTACAATTAATGATGATGTGGAGGCAGGGAAAAGATAACTAGCCCAAAATATGCATTTTTGGGAGCAGTAAATCAATTCACTTTCAGTCAGCGCCTCACAAAAGAGGTTTTGTACAGAGAAGTACAAGCACATTTTTTTTTTCTGCTTTCAACAAAAAGTCTCCTTCCAGACCTGACAAGAGGTTTCAGTGAAGGGATAGGTAAAGTTTCACTAAAATTTTCTCCGTAACTAAACTACGTTTCATTAGCAGCTTCTGAACCCACACTTTGATTTTAATCTGATTCAAAACAAATCTGAGCAGTTGTATACACGACGTAAACATTATCCTCACCATCTCATCTTTAATAAAGGAAGGTGAATAAACTCACATCAGCTAAGAATTAAGCCCCTTCACAGCCTTTGTTTGAAAGCCACAAACTCTTCCTATGGCCACAGCTGGGAAGCGAGTCACGACTCACCCCTCTCCTGGGTTAGGCAGACAGAACCCAGTGCACCCGGAGCCCGGGCAGCAAAGCGATGCACTGGGGCGTCTGGACCAGGAGGAGCGAGGATGAACACCTCAGCCAAGATGCCCCAGAGCAGCCGGGAGGTGCGAACGGGACGTTTCCCAAGCACAAGACCCAGGGACAAGCCGCCGGGCGCGGGGCACACGGAGGGGCGAGATCTGGGCCACAGAAAAGCAACCTCCGTTCCCTGGGGCAAGGGGGCGGCCGGAGGAGCTTTACCGTCACCTGCTGCACCGCAGGAGCGCGTCCTTCTCCCGGGCACCCGCACTAGCGGATGCGGCGGGGACAGTCCCGAAGGTCCCGTTGCGGGAGGGAGCAAGGACGGGTTTCGCCGTGCCAGCGGGGCAGCCCCGCAGCCCCCAGCTCCGGGGCAGAGCAGCGCTCGTCCCGCAC